AGCAGAAACCAGAACCAGCTACTGCCGAGCCTGAAATCACGTGGACCATGAAACACGTACCGAAGGGTGTAGTCTGCCAAGGTGCAGTCCAAGTAACGGAGCAGCACGCCAGGCAATGCCTCTCACCAATTCACTACTTCATTATTTTTGCCAAATAATCATAAAAACACCTACCTTGAGTCGGCCCTTCAGCGATGTCGTCTGCAGTCCTGTACGTGGTTACCTCTGTGTAGAGGGTGGAGTGATCCAGGGGCCACTTGTTTTTCCTGCAGGTGGCTTGAACAAGAGCCGTCAGGTAAGATTCTGGGATGTGCAGCCCCGAGAGCCACATCACCTTTGGCTCACCCTCGTTCACCTGCAGTGACAGAAGAGAAGCTGCAGAACCTGCTTCTCCCATCACACCTGGTACTCGGCCCAGAGGCCAGTGCTCTTAAAGCCCAGTGAGTGGCTGGTCTGTCCTGCATCTGCAGTCGTGCCATGATTCATTATCCTTCTAGGTGGTGACTGGCATTAGTTCAAGTAACGTGTCTAAAGCCCTGCGCGTTTCACTGACTTCTGCACCAATTTGCACAGCAGCTCATGCAGAGTAACGAAACAAAAAGCCTTCTGCAGGCACTCACTTACCCAGCTGGTGTACTGGTTATACCGCGCTCTGAAGAAAATAATCCAATTTCCAAGTGTTTTGAGGGTATCGGGGGCAAGGCGCCGCCAGATTCCAGGAATCTGGCCATTAAAGAGAGCCCGAGCCACATCATCCAGTTCACTGCTCATTCCAACTTCCCCAGCCAAGGCCTGGAAAGAGGGTGAGAGGCTGAGTGCCAGCCTGGGGCGGGTAAAGTCTCACTGCCTCGAGGTGCCTTGGGCAGCAGTGGCTGTGTTCTTACTTACACGTTGCAGCTCAGCCAGAGACTTTGCCATTCGAATGATCAGCTTATTAAAACGTTCCAGTTCCTGCAACAGCACTACAGTCGTCGGGGATATGTCTGGTCCAAACCCTTTCCGTATCTGGTCAAGGCTGAACACCGGCGGTATTTTGTTTTCGATATCCTTCGCCACGTTTGCAATATAC